TAAAATATTACTTAAAAAATTAACTGAATTAACGAAACGATTTTAAATAATCCGTTTAATAAAATTAAAATAATTTATTAATTATGTTAATGGTAATTATTAACGTATTATATAAAATTTTTTATTTATTAAAAATTTAAATATTAATATATTAATTTAAATTAATTTTTTTTAAACATTTTAAAGTTAATTTTAAAATTTAATCATTTTTATTTTTATAACATATACATATTACGATATTATATATTTTTTTTTTATATTTAAATTTAAAAATATTTATAAACGATTTTTAAAAGATTTATTATAATTAAATTATAAAAAAAATGCGTTATTACGTTAAGTTATATTTATAAATTAAAAAACGCGTTTAATTAATAATTAAACGTATATATAATAACCAAAAAAAAATTTACGAAAATAAATAAAAATTATATATAAATAAAATATATAAAAAATAAAAATCAAAAATTAAAGCATTTAATATATTAAATAACTTTTTAAAATTTGTTAAATTTAAAAAAATTGTTATAAAATATTTTTTTAAAATTAAAATTTCACTTAATTTTTTGAGAATTTAAAAGTTTAAAAAGAAAAAAGTTTTAATAAATTTAAATTTATTATTTTAAACGCATTTAAATTTTTATTTAAATTAATTATAACCGTTTTTTACTCCATAAAAATCTTTTAAAAGAAATATTTTTTATCCCATTTTTTTAAACGTTTAATTAATTCGGTTTTATTTCCATTAATTTTAAATTAACGTTAACGGTAAAATTTTACCAATATAACCTTTTTTAAAAAATAATATAAATTATGCAATAACGTTAAAACTTCTTTAATAATAACCAATATTTTAATATTATTTAATTTATTTAATATTACGTTATATTAAAAGTTTTTAATTAAATAAAAAACGGATTAATTATTAAAATATAATAAAAATAAATTAATTTTTTTAATGTAAATTAAATTATTTTTATTTTTAAATAAATAAATAATTATCCCGGTATAAATAAAAAAGTTTTTAATTAAAGCTTTATTATAAAATTATTTAAAACGTTTTTATAACTTTTTAACAATATAAATAACCATAATTCTTTTATCCGTAAAAGTTTATTTTTTAAAAAACTTATTAATAATTTTTAATTTATTTAAATATAACTTTATTTTTTTTTAAAAAACTTTTTTAAAAAGTTTATTAATAACAATGTTAAAAGGTTAAAAATAAAAAATTAACTTTAATAAAATTATTATTATAATAATATTATTATTTTTTAATTTTAATTTTAAATCCTTGGTTTTATAAAATATAATTATATTTATAATTAATAAAACCTTTTTATTATTAATATATAAAAATAACTTTTTATTAATTTATTATATAAATAAAGTTTTATTATTATACGTTATATTATTAAATTTAATAATAACGTTTAAATAATAAAACTGTTACTTTTTTTTTTTAACAATATTTTTATTATAAAAGATAATTTTAAAGCGTAAAAGCATTAACCCGTTTATAAAAATATATAATATTAAAGTAATTTATTTTTTATTTTAACTATTTTTATTTATTTTTCCAATTATTGATTTAATTCCCTTTAAATTATATATATATTTTTTGAAAAATTTAAATGGTAAAAAAGGTTTCGTTTATATTAAAGATTAATTCGAAAAAAAATTAACAAAAAATAAAGTTAATAATAAGGTTGTTAAATAAAATTATACTAATAAAATTTATTTTACGAGAAATTTTTTAAATATATTAAAAAAAATTATTTATATATTTTATTATTTTATTAAAAAGTTTAAAAACTATGTAAGTAATTTAATGTTTTATAATTTAATATTTTCGAAAAAAAGTTATAAATTAACCGTTTAAAAAAACAAAGATTTAAAGGTATTAAAAGTATAAATTTTAAAATAACATTTAAAATTTCCTTTAAAATTAATGTTATATAATTATTTTATAAGTTTTATAAACAATTATAAATTAAACTTATAATTAATTTTTTAATAAAAGCCATTATAATAAATATTTTTTAATTATAAGTTTTTTATTTTTAAATAATTTGTATTTTTTATTCCACCAATTTAATATAAATTGCGAATTTTTTATTAAAAAATACTTTTAAACTTTAATTAAATATAATCGTTTAAAGCCTTTTTTAATAATAAATATATTATTTAATAAACGTTTTAAATATATATATTTTTTTGTTTTATTATTTTTTAATAATATACGATAATTTTTTAAAAATAAAATAACTTTAAGTTTTCGTTAATAAAAGTAAATACGGTAAATTTAAAAAATTTGTTTTAATAATATATAATTATCCCGGGTAATAAACTTTCGTTTTTTGTTTTAACGTATAATAATAATAATAATAAAAATTAATTTTATTTTTAATAAATAAATTAAAATATTTTACATTATTTTACATTATTTACAATAATCCTTATAAAAAGCTGATTTTTTTCGTGAGATTTTCGTAATATTCACTAAAAAAGCTACGGCCGTATATAGTTTAGGTCATACCAAATATAGTACGTGGTCCGTGCCCTAGAATCAATTGTTTCTTAGTAGATGCGGTACATATGTCGGGCAATTGAGCATAAGGCCGAACCATAGTTTATTATCTTATCGATAACTAGTGCAAACAATCTTAACCTAGATTTCTCGGCATAGAGCTGCAGTGAATTATTATGTACAGTTTTAATACAATTTTTCTTACAAGAATACCTCCTACATTGGAAATCCAATCCAATTTCTTACTTGCAACACCACCACGACCTCATTGGAAACAGTCGACGGCTCGTCTAACTTGACAATGGCTGCTATTGGCTCTCTAGTTTTTTGTACCGACTGCGGGAACCTACTCCCCGTGTCTAAAGGCAATGTCAAAAATATCTTGCATTGCGAATGCTGCGGCGCCGAAAACAGAGGTTCGTCATAGCTGCGAGATGGCCGGCATACCTACTTGATTTTTTTTCCATGCCAGTTAGTCGATGTAATTTTCTAATGTAATGGTCAATAGACACGGCATCGAAGACGACCGTCACCCAAAGCAAACCCTCGGATTTCCCTTCTGTGCTTCGGCAAAAGCTCTCCATCGTGCAATCGGTCGAGCGACACAAAATTCAAACGGAAGCCGTCGTCAACGAAACGTGCGAAAAATGCGGACGTACCGAAGTCAAATATTCAGCAGTACAACTACGAAGTGCTGACGAGGGTAGCACTATCTTCTACACCTGCGACTGTGGTCATAAGTATGTTGTTCCCCTACATGGTAATAAATTGGATACCGCTAATCGGCTTCCTGGAATAGATGGAACACCAACAATTGAGATTCTCTTAGTAGAGCCTACCTAGTAGATTTCTCAAATAGAGGTGACGAACTCGAGAACAAATCTTATAAAATCAAATCATGCGTATCCTTTTTGGTATCCTCCAGCCAACCCAGACGTAACGCCAGTTTCTAAACCACCATCTATGCTACTACCTTTGGAGCCTCCGGGATGAGCGCGTACTCTGCTTGATTTGATTGCTCGTGGTCAGCCATGTCTAGAGCAACGATGATGCTCTCGCGCACGACTTTCTCCTCGTCGTGAAGGAATCGCTTCAGGGTTTCTTCGACGCCTTCTTCCTCGCCAAGGCTTCCAAGCGCCTCCGCCGCCTCGTGTCTCACCATGCTAGCTTCCTTGAGGTTGCTTAATGCTGCGGTAAGGGCTGGGATCGAAGCCGGGTGGGAGAGCTGGCCAAAGACGAACGCGATCTCGTGGCGAAATAGGGCCGACGGGTCTGCGAATCCCTTGGCCAAGGCGTGGACGGCGGGAACAGCTGTCGGAAGGTCTGGCGGTGATGCAAGATCGCGGAGTGCAAACATGGCACGATATCTGAGGAAGAGGGGTTGGCTCGTGTCCATCAAGCTCTTCTCTAGTTCTTGGACAGTCTGCGTAGAGTCGGGCATCGGAGGAGCTGGATCAACAGAAGCGAAGTCGCTGTTTTCTGATAGTTAGGATGTATATCCCTCATACAGATAGTCAATTACCCTGCCTATGGATATGCATACCTCTGGTGAAGCTTCTCCGCCTTTCGTTGTTCCGAATTCTCCCATTCGATTCGGTCGATAGCAATCTCGCAGGTCTCCTTAACGGCAACGTCTTCTCCCTCACGATCGCGATACTTGCGCAGAATCTCCAAGTTCCCAGCATCGCCAAGAGCACCCAAGGCCTCCGCTGCTTCGTGGCGGCACATGGGGTCTTCTTGCAGATCTGCTAGGACTTTCTGAAGGTGGGGGACAGCTGCTAGGTTAGCGGACTGGCCTAAACAGTAAGCCAGCTCATGTTTGAGTAGCGCCGATGGGGATATGAAGGCAGCCGCAATAGCATCGATAGCTCTGAGGGCTCGGTCACCAGTCTCGTGCCGTGCGAGGTGCTTAAGTGAGAAGAGGGCGCGGAATCGGACGGGTAGTGGGGTAGCTTCGGAGCAAAGAGATTCGCGAAGGCTCGCGATAGTTGCTAGGGTATCTGTATCGGATGCCATGGTGAATTAAATTTAACGAACTTCCGAAGTGTAAGACCCCGTAGGATTCAACCCAATAAGGAAGAGATGACGAAAATAAAGTTCGATTAAAAGACCGAAAGTTGCGGAGGGAAATTTCGGGCATTGACTTCGCACCAAAAGTTTTGTTATCAAGTAACCTAGCGCTGTACTACCTAACCTTAGGTATGTACGATAATGCAGGCAACCCCTCTATCAAGATCTTTATAAAAAAAACTTCTCCGCACTATCTAGGTTAGGTATGTACCTAAGTACACTATGTACATGCATGTACATAGCGGATCGTTGAAGTCACCATACTAATTGAAGCACTCTTTTCTACGCATGGGTACCTTGGTATATAAAACTTGGCTGACAACCGTTTAACATCCAGGTTTCCTGGTGTAATGGCTAGCACTGCGGATTCTGATTCCGCCAATCTGGGTTCGATTCCCAGGGAGACCTTTCTTTTTCCTGGTCATCATGGTATAACATGCCATACTTCTTTTTTTTTTAAGTTTATATTTCGTCCCCCTAAAATATAATATAGGAAGGCATAGTTTATAAGGTAAATAGCTCGCACTTACCACTTGCTTCAATAATCCTTTTAAGTATGTCACAAGATACATATGGTATAGGATTACTTAATACGAGTACTACATAAGGTTCGTACCTGCTATTGTGTACAAGTAAAAAGTAAAGTCAGGAGCTGCGCTAAAATTAACTGCCAGGCGAGCTCCGCAGCTTGTCGTACGGCAAGTCTTCTCATATGAGATACCTAATGTGTACCTACCTAGGTAGGTTAGGTAGGTATACAACGTGACTCCCTTGCCATAATTAAACACATTTCACGTCTGCCTCAGCGTTAAAAACCTACCTAATTCTTACATCTCTATGCTCTTCGTTTCCTCCCGATTTTTGACAACTACGCACAGGATGGCTTTACATTCAGCAAGTGTGGACAGTAAACTAATATGTGTGTAGCGCCGCTTCACCCGAAATAATACTTGGACAAGTTTGCGTGCTTACATTGTTATTAGTCGCTCCCGCGGGTAAAGAGGCTCATGGGCAAGCAGAACAATTTACAAGGGGTGTATTAACTCGCTCAGACCTTGATGCGACCTCACCTATTCGTCAGTTTCACAAGTGGTTTGCCGCAGCCCAACGGTCCGGTCGCGTTGCTCATCCAGAGACTTGCTGTCTGTCTACTGCATCGCTGCCATCCGGCCGTGTATCTTCCCGTGTGGTTTATCTAAAGGAACTGGATGCTGAGGGATTTGTTATCTATAGTAACTTTGGTACGAGCAAAAAGGCCCAGGATCTTGCTACAAACCCATGGGCAAGCCTCACCTTCTGGTGGGAAGACCTTGAGCGACAGGTGAGAGTGGAGGGGAGGGCAAACAGGCTCACCCGCGAAGAGAGCCAGAAATATTTTGATACGAGAGTTCGTGGCAGCCGTATCGGTGCTTGGTCAAGTCGTCAGAGTCAGGTCCTAAAACCGACTAGGGGTGAGCAGGGCGAGGAGGAAGATGATGGGCGAAAGATACTCGACGAGTGGGTCAATGAGACTGAGAAGCGGTTTGAAGGAGAGGAAAGCATCCCGGTTCCGGACTTCTGGGGTGGCTTGAGAATAATCCCCGAATACGTGGAGTTTTGGCAAGGTCGACAGAATCGCCTGCATGATCGGTTTGCTTACGATAAGATATCTACGGAAGAAGGTGTTGAGGAATGGTCTCTTGAGAGACTTAGCCCATAAATATCATTGGTCCATATCAAGCGTACTTGACGGGCTGAACTGTCGTTCCTATTGCCACTTTACGATTACCCTCACGTACAAATACTTAAAACTTTACCAATTGATCTCACGCCTCAAACATAATAACCCAATTGGACAACATCGCTAGGACGGAGCAACTCCCGTTTACGATATGGCTCCGGGTGTCAATTTATTCTGAACCCGCAGATTGGCTGGCCGTCCTGGTAAGTTCTCTTTGTTGTAGTTCCTCTTACAAATCCCAGCCAGCACTGCATTTCTCCCGTGTTTGGGACTTACAGGACGACCACTCATCACCGATCTCGTGAAATTTTCAGGATTGCCAGCGGGTCCTAGGCGGTTCTGGATTCATGCTGGGTAGAGCCGCATTCTTCACCGATTCGATGTTTAGGTTGGGGATATCAAAATATCTGTGAAGGGCTGTTATGTCAGCGGAGACGAAATTACATCATGGATAATCATCAACTGTGCGGCGATCGCCATCGCAGTGCTGGATCGATATTCTTATGCTGAGCTAAAAAGCTTAGATATACGTAAGTATCCGAAGAATACAACGATTATACGCCAAAACGCAGCCAAAAGCCTTCTACTTATACCCAGCCGTCCCAGTGTAACAAGGGGGCAATATACTTACATATGTACCTAAGGTCTGTGCCTAAGGTATGTAACTGGACTCTTTGGTAAAGACTCGTCGATGAGATAAGAGCAATACATGTGATGATGTTTCTTGAATGGGTAACTACAGCTTGTTGATACAATGTTATACTCTGCTCACATTTCACCTATATTCACCAAGACATATCTGATAGGTTCCACTACCGAGTAGCGATCCCGAATATGCACGAAATTAAATCTCTGCAGATGTTCCTCCTGCTTGCATATACTTCACATGCATGCGATTTGGGATCATCTGCTCCGAGATTCTGCTCCGAGATTCTGCAATAGATTAAGTGGCGCCAAAATACCGTGGCGTCCTCGTGATCTCAACGTAGCTACTTAGGTTTCAATAGACTGAGCCTCTGCTTCAACGCTCCTGCGGAATTTCGATGCATCTCATCGGAAGCATACACAGAGACGTCTTCCCCAGACGTGACCCCGACCAATCAAGTAGTCATTATTGATAGCGTAGCATAATGTAGGATCCATCGGGCTAGAAGTACGGACGGGATAGGCATGTTGCCTCCAGATTGCTCAGGGTGTGCCCCTAGAGACCACTTCATGGGAGCCAAGGGGCTTCAGGGTATATTGTATGTTTTCAAACCGTAGTCAATCTACAGACTGGTGTCAACTCAAGACAATATAGCTTTATGTTTTAATTAATTATAGGTAGCTAAGTTAAGTAACTTTATAATCCTTATTTTCACTTTTAGTAACTAATTAATCACACTCTGTGCACGTTGACGTACCTGGCTCAACTGCTCCTAAGCCACTGCCTACCAAACCGATGGCTGCTGGTCAGATGCAGGCTGATGGAGGCTTTGTCGCTAATACTTACCTCACACGGGATGAGAGTTGCTTTGACAGGCGCCCGTATCCATTTGACCGGTTCTCCCAGGACTACGGTTCATCGGACCTAGTGAATTACTACTCTCTAACCAGGCTCCTTGAATAGGTATATATGTTGTCTTTCTGGTTTGATTCCGTCTTCTTACGCGTTAACCATCCGATGGATCCCTTATAGACACAATCCAAAGAGGAAATAACTTATCATAGTTCTAGTAAGACTAGGTAGGTACCTATCTATCCACTTCTTATATGGTTACTGAAATTCAATTTCTTGTCTTGCTCTCAAGTTGACCAAAGTAGGCAGGAAATCTTGTATAAAGCTCATTCCTCTGGGGCCTTGGTTATTATTTCTGACAGTAATGCCCAATTAGCCCCCCGTCTATAAGGGTTGAGTACGCCTTTAGATAATTGATATGTCATCACAAAGCCAAGCAGACCTTGACAGGATTCGGGATAATCAAAGGAGGTCTCGTGCTCGGCGTAAGGAGTACGTGAAGAGCCTTGAGGAACGCCTAGGGCTTTACAAGCGTCAGGGAGCTGAGGTTACGTTACATATCCAACGAGCCGCGCAAAGAGTAGCGGAACACAATCAGAAAATGAGAATCCTTCTCAATACTCTTGGGTTTGACGACGAGAAGATAAACTGTTTTCTCCAAAACGGCAACATCAATCCTGGTGAAGCTATAACCTCCGATTTCCCATCCCCAAGCAGACCCATATACGGCAATCTTGATGCTAATATTACCTCCTCAACATACGACCAAGTGGAATCAGAAGCCCTTTCTGCTATCGTTAATGAACACATTCAAATACGCGACGTGGCAATCTTGGATCAGAATGCCACTGGCCTTGCAAGCACAGGATACTTATCATCATCATCACAAACATACTCACCCCAGGCTCAGGGTGAACTATCGCAATATACACAAACCTTGAACCAACTGGTAAACAAACCCCTTATTGACGCCAGCCAATATAACACAAGCTCTAGTCATCAAGACGTCACCATTTACGAGCAGTCTTTTGAGGCAGGCTACATGGCAGATCCGTATTCAAATCTATCTCATACTTCAAGGAAACCCATCGGCTCTGCTGTAGTCGACGCTCTACTTCCTGCTACTTTACAACACAGCCAGACACATTTGGACTATATTTCCCCTGTACACTACGGCGCGAACAATAGTGATGATGCAAGCTGTTTACCATTGACCTCAAATATGTCCTCCAGCCCGCATGGCAGAAGTTTGTCTTTTTGAGTCCACTGTGACAATCTATTAGGTGGATTGCGTAAGTACCTCTTTATAGAATCCGACTTGGTGGGCTAAATTCCTGACAGGGACTGCTCTAAGTGCGGGCTACTCCTATATTCTTGGAACATTCCAGAGCTGCTGTCCACCACTACCAGCCGCATCTGGTAGTCTACATCTTTACAAAGTCATGCACCTTTGTCTCATAATTACTGGGATACTCATCTGCAAGCAACCGTAGTGTGAAAGCAAACGCCGGTGCTAGCCTAGTCGCTGTTTTCAGCGTGAGAGCGTGCAGGACCTGTATTATACAAAGCTGAACATGAACTCTTTGTCTAGGTTCTTATTATTTACACGATAAAATAATGGACAGCGTAAATTCTCATCTGCTGATTATCCAAGCTGGATTAAGCATCAATAGTCTCTTCGTTGTGAAATAATACCACACTTTGAGCCACCTTTCCTAACTAGCTTAAAAAACACAAGTAACTTGACTTATACAACACTGAGGTTCTATATCTCTGATCGCCGAATAAACCAACATACATTTGAGAGCCCGAGTAGAGCTTGGATTGGATAGGAAGTCGACAGTGTACAAGAGCGGCTCCCGCCGTCGCGTTTTTCTCGCCACCCTGTCGTAACCGACTGCAGCATACAAGATGAACGTACTTGGGGTAAGCATTCTCCACGTAAACGTAAATTAGGATAATAATTGTATTGAACACTTTCTGACACTGTGAGAATAGGAGAATGATGGACTGGGCCCATCATTCGAAACAAATGAATTCTTCCCTGGGGTCAATATGCCACACCAGCCGACCCGTATTGACAACCCTTTCAGGGGAGATTTGAGTGACGACAATGAGGACATCGATGACACTCCAATGTCCGGCCGGGAGTATCCTCTAGCCAGCATGGCACGGGGTGTTCGCCGATTTCCGAACCGGGCGGGTGTTTGGTATGGGGAAAATAGATCGAGGTTGTCTATTAATCAACGATTCCAAGATATCATCGAGGAGTGTGAGAATTTCTACAAACTCAATCCGGGGTTTGATGGATCTAAACGGCAGACTGATCACCTCTTCACCTTCATTAAACGAGCCCTCCAGGCAATCGGCCTAGAGAGGCATCTCCCTCTTTTTGTGGCTCACGAGGATGTTAACTTTGGAAGTAACGGTCTTTATTCGCCTCGCTATGTGTCTGCCACGTGGGAAGATCTTCCTCATGAACAGGATCCTAGGAATGACAAACCCTGCTACAACGAAGTCAGACGGGCGCTAGGAGGAGGCCCTCAACCCCAAACTTACGGAAATCTTCGAGGCGGAGCCGCTCCGACCCCTTCTGATACAGGCACTCCTTCATATAAGTCACTCAGGACTGAAACCCGTGATTTAAAGAGGCGGATTGGCGTTAGATGGACGAGGCCGAGACAAATGTGGGGAGAGGCTCGACTGCTTGCAAAATTAGACATACAGACCGTCCCCGAAAAGCTTGAAGATCTAAAGACTAAGGGGCCTATAATGTTGCCATCTTCGGCCATAAGTGAAGAATTACGCGCTAGGCTCTCGCGTGGACTAACCTATGAGATCAATAAGCAGACCCCGCGGTACGAAGCTGCCAAAGAGTACGACACGATCCCGACTCTCAAGGCCCTGTTAGCAGAAGTTGACGATGACATCGATTCTAAGAGGGTAGATTGGCAAACGTTTATACATGACTGGGTTCGGAAAGAGGGAGTGGGCAGGGGTCGGTATAAATTCCAGAGCCACGTGGAGGGGGAGGAACGACTCATTGCAGCGATAATGGAGGCTTTCACCGTGATGCTTTGCAGTATCATTCGGGTCCTCATACATAACAAGCTCCTAGATCTCGGAGAAATAAGAATCAACGACCTGGTTTCTGCAGAGATGGAATTTGTAGAATCCCTGAAGAGGCACGAGGAGTTATGGAGGGAGTACGATACATTCCATATTTACTGGCTGCGCGTCAGTGCGACTGAAAGGGATGCAATCCTTACCCGTATTCGTCTACGATACGCGCTAGAAGGTTACTGGGGTGGGCTGATCGGGGAATATAAAAACGCACTCTTACAACTCGAGGAGCATGGCTTAGAGTCGTTCCCCGAGACAGTCGAGAAGGTTAAGAAAAGGCCACTCCATATCGAGGCAGAAGAAAAGCGGACTAGATTCAAGCAGACGCACAAGCCCCAGGAAAACTCGCCCCTCCGTCAGGAATTCGTTTTGCCAACAGAGGAGGATTCGATTTCGGATGACCCAGAGTTGTTTAAGCTCCCATCAGAAGACGATGGCTCGCCCACCGAACCCTCAGATCTAGGCGAAGCCGAACAAGCGTCGGATACTCCCGACCCTGCTCCTTCGACTAAAACAAAGGGCAATGCGGGAGTCCGCCGAAGTCTCAGCGTGCTCAACCGACTGCGCAGGGCATACGCCGAGACTCTCCAAACTTATATCGACGCCAACGAAGAGCTCGACGCGGGCGACCCGGGGAACGTAGCGAGGATAACAGCGAACAACCAGAACATCAAGCTGCACAACCAGCTGATTTGGAATTTGGACACGGAGATCGACAACCTGAGAAGCCGAAAGCCGGAAAAGAATATCGGTAGGAGTACCCAAAACGGTATCGAGGTGCCGGCGCCGGCCCATGAGCTTTACAAGCATACCAAGAGGCTTGAAGGCCAAAAGGATCTCCCTACCGATATTAAAAGCCTGGCACCCGGTAACTTGCCTGGCGACCACCCAGCGCCGACGATCACCAGGGTCCTCGTGGGTGGTCCGGAGAACTTGGGCGATGACCCTCTCACTCCGGATGCCGCCGGTCAGACGACTGAGTCGGAGGTTCAGAAGACTGATACTTTGATTCCTCCTAAACCCCTGTTTGATCCTCAGCCTCAACCTCAACCTCAACCTCAACCGCGGCCTCAACCACCACCTCAACCTCAACCTCGGCCTCAACCGCCTCCTCAACCTCAACCCCGGCCTCAGCCGCCACCTCAGCCTCAACATAAGGTCCAGCCTCAACCTCAACCTCAGCCTCGACCTCGACCTTGGTTCCGGCCTCGACCCGGTCCCGGCCCCGTCTCTCCGACTCCTGTTCGGGATCACAATAAAGGTCAGTCTCAAGTTCTCCAACAGTACCGTGCTGGCTTCCCCGTCATCAACTTGTCGGAAGAAGAATCTGGGGCTGAGAGTCCCGACCCTCCCCACGCACCTGAGTCTCGTCACTCTCGCCCTAACCCGCCCATCCGTCGCTTGATCCAGGGCCGGCCGGGTCGTTCGGTTGTTGACATAGCCGTGGAGGAGTCTACAGCGCCGCATGGGCGTGTTAACTCTACCCGTCTAATTCACTCTCGCCGAAACCCTCTCCGGGGCCCGAGGGCTAACCCGCTTCGAACAGCTTCGACTGTTGTCCCGCCTGTACAGCCGGTAGAGCCGCCAGTAAAGTTGGTGAATCCAAAGCAATTAGTGCAGCCAAAGCAATTAGTACAGCCAAAGCAAGTAGTACAGCCAGTACAGCCGAAGACACAGACGCTATCTCGTACTAGCGCTTGGGCCTGGAGTGAGCTGCCAACGATGACCTTTGAGCAATATCTCGCATCGCTGCCGGCGCGTCTCCAACGCGACCGGGCTGCTGCGAAGGCAAACTACGACCTTATCACGAGTACCGTAGCAGGTATCAATAGCAGACATAATAAACCTGTAGAGCGTCCCTCTCACCTTGAGGACATGTATAAGGAGCAACATGTCCAGCCCCAGCCCCAGCCCCAACCCCCTCAAGTTCAAACCCAGGTGCCGTCTCCGGTGTATTCGAGTACCAGAAGGCCAGACTGGACCGAGGGCAGGGACACCCGCCAGTGGACTATGAATGATCTTGCGAACATGTCGTTCGAAGATTATTACACTTCGCTTCCGGTAGCAGGGAGAGCGGACCAGGGCACTGCTTATAAGGACTTCGAAGCCATTCAAAAAAGCATAAGCGATATTGCCAAGACCATGCATCCCAAGGAAGTAACTCCAGCGCCTGAACCGCCATTGATACCAATTGATACCAGGTTTGCGCAGCAGGGCACAGAGAAAAAATCCTTTCGTTGGTCCTCTTATAAAACCGACTCTCCAAAGAAGGTCACCCCTCACACCAAGGGAGCAACCGACTCCAAAGTGAAAAAGTTGACCAGCCCAAAGAAGCCCTCGAAACTGCCTCTAAACCATCCCAGATATTGGGACTGGAGTGACTGGGGCAATGTCGTAGACCAGCGGTACGAGAAATATCTAGAAGCGCTCACCGAAGAGGAGAAAAATCAGTGGGAGAAGTCGGAGCAAGACTTCTACGACTTCAGACGAAACGCGTTGAATAAGGCGACGCAGCAGCACAACGCTGCCGCCGCCAAAAAAAGAGGTAATACCATGTTCGCCCCTATTCTTGATCCTAGCGATAGCCAACTGATTCTAGCTGCTACCCACCAGGTAATTAAAAACGTCACTCAGGACCCCATCGATGACGCCGGTCCATCTACATATACCGGCCCAATAGCCTACGCAGCTCTCCCACCCCGTGACAATAATAGGCGTAGGCGTATAGAAAACCGGCGGCAGCAGCAGCAGCAGCAACAACAACAACAACAGGAATCGACCACACAAAAGCAAGGGGGAAACCGGCAGCAGCAGCCACAGAAATCGACCACACGAAGGCAAGGGGGAAACCGGCGCAACGTCATACCTAGCGACAATGCTGTCCAACCTCCCGGGCCCAACCCACAGCAGGGTCCTTCTACCAAGAACGAGTCTATTAAGCCTCCTTTGCCCCCCTTGTACGACAAGGTACCCAGAGGTAGGGTAACTAGGATACACACAGGACGTGAAAGAAATTGGAAAACCCGGAGGCACCAGCCTGCCTACGTGCCTCCCCCTCCGGGTCCCTCGGTGCTGGGTCCAAAGTTAGGCGACGGGGGTCTGTTCGGAGTAAACCCGTCTAATGACCTGTTCAGACCTATCTCGCCCAACATATACGGCTCTACCCCGCAACCACCGCTGGAGTCGCAGCAGGAACGGCACAACATCATCCCCAAGGGCGATACCCTGCCACCTGTCTCGGGTCTTAAGATCACACCGGACAGCAAAGGGGACACAGAAGACGCACCCACGCCTGCTCCTGCTCCTGCTCCTGCTCCTGTACCTGCACCGGCACCCGCACCAGCACCCAGGCCTGGACTTAGACCTAGACGAAGGCCAAAACCAATACCAAATCCCGTACCTGTGCCTGTACCGACACCCGCACCCGCACCCGCGCCTGTGCCCAGACCTAATCCTAGACCTAGACCTGGACCAAGGCCAAAACCAATACCAAAACCCGTACCTGTGCCTGTACCGACACCCACGCCTTCTCCTGCTCCTGCTCCTGTACCTGCACCGGCACCTGTGCCCAGACCTAATCCTAGACCTAAACGAACACCGGCACCCAGGCCAAAACCAACACCAACACCCGTACCTGTACCTGTACCGACACCGGTACCCGCACCGGTACCCGCGCCTGCGCCTGTACCTGTTCCTGTACCCACGCCTGTTCCAGTTCCGGTACCTGCACCTGCACCTGCTCCCGCTCCCGCTCCTGCACCGGCACCGACACCGACACCTGCGCCTAGACCCGAACCTACGCCTAAACCTGAACCTAGACCAACACCAAGGCCAACACCAAGGCCAACACCAACACCCGTACCTGTACCTTCACCTGTACCGACACCCGCGCCCGCACCTGCGCCTACGCCTAAACCTGAACCTACGCCTAAACCCGAACCTAGACCACCCCCACCCCCAACCCCCAGTGCCTGGCCCGACCCCCTGCCCTACCCCAAGCCCGTCCTGCAACCCGGAACCGTGCCCAAGCCCACGAGCCCCCAGAAGCAGTCGGCAGATGACCCCGAAGCCGAAAACGCAGCCAAATCCGGATCCGGATCCGGATCCGCGGTCGCCAAGCTCCCGCCCGACACGGTAATCCCGAACAGCGACGGCTGGCCGGACCTCAAGTACCTGATGAGGGCGCACCGGACGGCGGCGCTCGCGGCGCAGACGATAACCCAGCGCAGGGCCCCGTTGGCCGTGGTGAAGAGGGAGGCTATCCAGGGGTATCCCAGGCCTACGTTTAGGAGTGCTGACAGCCGTGAGGTTGTGATATGATTGTGGGGAACCCCCATTGGGATAGGGATTAGGGGTATAGGTTTTAAGGAGGGGGGAGGGAGGGTTCGACAATGTTTAAAGGGGTTGGTGGTTGATGTTTAGGGAGGTGGATGGATGGATGGATGGATGGATGGGTGGATGCGACTTGTGTGGGTAGACTCAAGATAAGACACATAGGCACTTGCCGGAAGACAACATGATGGATGGATAGATAGATGGAAAGACGGAATATCGATGGGGACCTGAATGACGTATAACTAGATGAACAACAAGAGGAGGAATTTTGGAATAGAGTTAGGAAGAAGATTGTACGATGGAGAAATTGGATAGTTAGACTTGTGCAAAGGGGGGCACTTACACATCTACACAGTAGAGCTTTCTTATTTCCTTTGTAGAATAAATCATCTCTAGTATTCCTATTCGTCAACACCGAATCGTCTTGTCCCATCCCATTCACTGCAGTGAAAAAACGTGCCAGTAGGCTGAACAGGAATATATCCTAGTATGATTGATTATATGGATATCTTCTCTGCATCTATTCTCATGAGAGACTAGAATACGCCGCCTAGTTAATCATTAATCCGAAATCTGCTTCTTTCTGTGATGCCCCCGGAACTCCGCCAGGTATCGTACCAAAGGGGGTAAAACACTGTTGATGGTCCGTCTTAAGCGGAATGCTACGTCTGTTGCTGCCAACCGGCTCGTATTATACAATCCAGTCCTTACACTAGGAGGTCCTATAGGAAGTAATCTGCCACCGGCTTCTTGGCGGGCATACCCCTGGAGTCTTGCGGCGCGGCCTGGAATACGCGATATCTCCTTGCTGGGCCGTTTTTGAGCCTCTTCTCGCTCTCCATCATAACACCCTCTATTCCGCCATCGCTCCGGCCCACATCGCCGTTGCTGCGCGCGAAAAAGCTCTCTCCGGTCGGGTCCTCGGATAACTCTAGGACGGCGGCCACGTTACCGCATCGATAGCAGTAGTTGGGCGCCGACCAAACCGTAACAATACTCGCATCGAACATTTCCTTGAAACCTTCCATGACGAGCTGGTGGGCGCGCGCGATGAGCGAAAGGTCGTTCTTATGGTTGAAGACCTTGACAATATCCGCGCCAAAGAGGAAGCCTGCGCCGCGTGGCGACAGACCCCAGCCGTCAATCTCGTCCGGATCAGACCACAAGAGGTCGCACATGGCGCCCTCGTGAGGTACTTCTTGTTTGCGATCTAATAGGCGGATCTTGTCCACCGTGTCAATCAGGGGTGACAAACCGCCGTGTACACATAAAACTGCTCCTGTCGGATTGCCGATAGTCCCTCCACTGGAACCCGACGCGCCTGACCCTGGAGGGCCAGTCTTAGGTTGGGTCCCGTTAGGACTTTTCCGTTCGCGATCTATGGATTGGTCGCTGTTTCGTCTCATGAATCGGCTCATGATATCTCCATCCGCATTGCACACTTCAATCTCAATATCCTGCTGGGTATATTCCTCGCTAGGTGTCATCTCATTGGGAGGCGAAAGGGTATTTGACGCGTTGAGCACTATAGCTCCGAGGGCGAGATAGTCGAAAACATCGCAGCAATACCTCCAAACGTTAGCACTCCCATATTTTCGAAGACACTCGTCGTAAAATCCATAAACTGTCGTTATCTGACGAGACTCGTGGTTGCCTCTAATCAGTGTCATACGATCGGGATAGCGGACTTTTAGACAGAGGAGTAGGAGAAAGGATTCTAGTGAGTAGAAGCCACGGTCGACGAAGTCGCCTATATGAGTACACTTGATCAGAGATGCTATCTGGTAAGAGATGGGTATCGCGCTTGGAATATGTACCCATGAAAAGGTAGTTTGTGTCTGGAGGATCGCCTCCAACCCTGAAAAGTTCCATTAAATCGTGGAACTGTCCGTGGATATCACCACATATCTGCGCGCATCATGTCAGAGAGATATTCCGAGATTATACTATCGCGTTGGACTAAGGCGTACCGTTACAGGGGCTGTGACTGTAACAACGTTTCCTTCCTCAATCAAGAGCTCTCGAGCCTTATGGCAAAGTTCCCTAACCTGCGCCTCGGGGATCGGACGACATGCTCGGAGTTGAGCGATCGCTCTATATAATTACATATGGTTAGCACATATCTCGCGCTGCGTCTATACCCATAGAGGGCGCCGTACTTATCAAGGTCGCTCATGTCTACGGTTAGGAGGATAGGCTAGGGGGATAGGACCGAGGCTGCAATCAAAGCTAACGCCGAGCCAAGGGGGTGGTTTTGAAATGTTCGTATGGTCGTTTTCATAACATTATCAGGATAATTAGTAGGTTTAAGAAGTGTACATAGACAATTACTGTAGTTGTGATATGCGATATGGTTCTTCTCTATGCTATGCAAATTGGGATATGGAGATATGGAGATGTGGTTCGCGACAGATTCGGTTCGTCGCGTGCGGCATCTTACAGTTGACAATCCAAAATTAGAAAATACTTTAGGTACTCTATGCACTGAGCGCGAAATGGCACCGGCACTCAATTTCTGAAGTCATTTTAGCGGGTCCCTCAATTGCCTGCAGCTTCCCCCCTTGCTAGCCGTTCCTAACCTTGTAAGCTGCTCTTGGGGATTATGTAAAATCGATAACTCTCGATAAGCCGTCTAAGCTGCTAAGTCGTCCCACCATGCCCACCTTATCTGGCAATTCCTCGGGTGAGACCGCGAATCGGGTCCATGGGATTTGGCATTGAAGCTTGAATTCAGACAATTAATTCTTGGATGCGCTACCTTAGACAACAGCAACGAGCATCGTAACCTTCACCCGTCCTCTAGCCTCCACCTTCCAATCGTCATGCCGTGGGACCATACAGGCATAATCTAAGTACGTCTCTAGCTTAATTGCATCAATTGGCGATTTTCAAGCCCGCACCTACAAAAGATCACCACCAATCACTAACAAGTTTCTTAACTTACAGCTTTACTCCTCCTCCTCGAACTCGCCCATACCATGCCGCCGCACCTACACCCGCGGTCGCGAATGACCTCCTCTCTCTTCGCCACGACCGTAGCAGCGAGCTTCTTCGTCGTGACACTCCCGCACATCCTGCCCTGTCCCGCGCCGCGGGTGACCTACGCCGACTCAGAAATAGCCGCAGACGGCACGAGGCGGCGGCGGCGGAGGAAACCAGAGCCAGCGGTCGTGAAGGACGGCATCGTACAGTTCGAGAGTCCGACAGAGGACTTAGAGAGGGTCGCTACTGAGACCGGCGGCATTGCTACGAGGGCAAGGAAAGAAAGAGAATGTCCCGTACCCAAACCGGGCGGCGTCATTGGTGAGCTGATGGGGTTTAAGGGCAAGTCGAAAGCGGAAGAAGGAAAAGGGCCGAGTGATAATACATAGAAAACAGCGAGCATCAGGTTGGAAAACCACTGGAAACTTTACACTTGCAATGTGTATAATGTTACCGTGCGAAGAATGCGTCGCAGTTACCTATTGCTCCACACTAGGATTATCACTAATAAAAGATGAACTCCTCTGTATCACTCCGGAAAATTGATAGACGGCCACTTGCTTTTAAAGGCTTTGGGGGAGATAGAAAGGTAAGTGGCACAAGCATATTGCATTGCTCGAGACCATAATCCATTATTTGAAAGTCTATCTTCGAGGTAACACATATTTCCAAGCTCAAGCGTTCAGCGTGTTTATCTCATCTCACTTGGTAGCTCGGGACCAAAATAATTATAGACGAAGGACAGTTTCTAGCATCATTGTCAGAAATGCAATTGAACTTTTATTGACCATTAGCCGGTGGGTTAGCATCCGGCAACTTTGGTGACTCCTTAGAACTCCTTTCGTATTCCCCGTCCTCCTAATAACTACCATGGGGTTGATAGCCATAAAGACCAAGCCGTCCCAACATCATGATGAAGTTTATCCACCTCTCAATAGTAATACTGCTCAAGATTTTGACCGTGCCGATGCGAAAGGCGACCGTTGCGAGTTCCTCGTTCCACATCAACTAATTAATGAAGCCGTAGACCTGCCTGAGTCCGATATGCCTCTGCATCCTCCTATGTCTGTATTTGCGGAACAAAGAAAACTAAAAAATTAACGCAAGGAAAGTCGTGAGAGGATAATATTACAGATAGGAAACGAATAGTAAAAAGGTATCACTGAACGTAAGCGGGAAGGATCCAAGCTGCTTCCTAGGATGCAGATTGCGGTGTCGGCACTTCTGTCTCTTCAACTTTCGCCTCGTCCAGGTCCAGCTTGGGCTTCTTCGCAGCGCGCTCGGACTCGGATTCCTCTACCTTCATCTTCAGTTCCTGGTTCTCTTGCTCCATCTCATCGAGTCGCCTCTTGAGGATGTTCTCTCGCCTATGGCTATCCTCCAGCTGTCGCTGGATCTCTTCACGTTGCATGCGCTCTGTGGCTGCTTCCTTCGCAGAGTTCTCGGCAGAATGGCGGTAGTTATCAGCGGTCTGCATATCCTGTTCCAACTGTTGCAATCGGCCTCTGTACAGCTCATTGACAAGTTCGAGCTCGCTAACGCGCGTCTTCAGGCTGGAGTTGGCGGCAATTAACTGTTCGTGAGTCTGCGGGACGTCGGTGATCTGCTGGTCGCCGTTCATAGGGGACTGGTGGCTAGGAGAGCCATCGGGAATGGGGTACTGAGTTAGACCGTCCGACTGGAAATGATCCATAGCTTGGAAAGCAGTCAGATGGGGATCATATAGAGACGGGGTCGCTGTGCGCGACACGGGCGAGTCTGTACCGTGGCCATGTCCGTTTGTGGCATTCTGCTGGTTCGCGCGAACGGCGGCAAGGGCGGCGGTTGCATTATCATGGTTGAAGTTGTTACCGTTGGTACTGGCAGGGAGGCTCTGCTGCAGAGAGTTGTGAGCATTGTGAACATCATTTACGCGGACGGGGTTTAAAGGGGGCATATGTTGCATACCTTTTTCTTTACCTGCATGTCCGGGCGCATTGTCTTTACGCGATTTCGGCTCTTGATAACATCGGTCTTCAAGGAAATCGGACGCGGGCGGCCGTGCAGCTTCAAGAACAGGCCGCAGGCATTGCATAGGACGGATCCCGTCTCGTCGCGACGCCATAACGGAGTAGTTGAAGTACCGCAATTCTGGCAAGTTGGCTGCGTAGATGGAGTATCACCGTTAGCGCCTGCAGCCGTTGTGGGGTGTGAGGCCATCATTTTGAAATTGAGTAATGAAGCTTTCAGTTGAAAGAGGGTTATACCGGCGGATAGAGTATCGCGATGGGAGACTGGGGAGAGATATCGATAGGGAAGGATAGGTTGATTGATAGAATTGATAGAACTGATAGAACTGATAGACGGGAAAGATTGAAGAATTTCTAGAAAGTGGGTGCTGATAAGGTTGCAACCAATCATAGCGAAGTACAAACCTTGTCTATACAAGGGTACCTGCGATTTCCCAAAGTTCCACGTCCGAATTGAAGGGGGGGGATTTCCACCTTTCATGTCAACAGCATACAGATGTAGGCAAGAAAGCCTCCTTACCTGTACACTTATTGGTACATGACTTATCCCGCGTCGAAACCTTGGTAAATCAACAGGTGCAGAATGCAACAAAATGCAACATTCCACTTACCCTTCCACTGCATATATAGCCCGATTTCCAAAATATCAAACTAATATGCGCGTCATGCTCAAAAGGGAAAAGGAAAGAATAGGTGCTGAGATAAAATAATAAGGCTCGATAACTCACCAAATTACCCGACGCTGTCGGAGCGTGCGCTGCAGGAGAAGAATTCATTTGGGGAACTGGTGTATGTGTCGCTCTGTATGTGATGATCATAAGTTAGAATGATGGATATCGCCAATGTATGTATGAGGTAATGTTCGAAAAGGTATGTGTTCTTAAAGGTCGAGGTTGCGATTAAGTTGCCATAAACAGTTCAGTGTTCGAGACTCAAGATGGAGTGAAGGGAGTGTTAAGTACGTGGAAGCAAGTCAACGAGACGTCAACGAGACCTGCACCATTGACAGGCATACTGACGCTTCCTAGTGACTAAGGTTACGGTGATAATGCCGCTGTCAGGTGTACACTTAGGTGTTGAATCCTTGAGATATCTATTTCGTTCTCTCCCTGGTAAGATACGCAGGCGAGTCGTAAACCCCGTCTGAGATATAAAACCATCACCATGACAATGTCCCCCTTTCACCCCCCCAAAAAACTTTGGTATAAGAAAATCATGTAATTGTTCAGGTGCAAACTCACCTCAATTGCGGCGAACTAGTTGCTGATCCCGCGGCTGCCAACGCGGAAACACCTGGAAGCTGTGCTACCGAGGCTGTCGTCGAAGAAGTCGAACTCGGACGTGATATTGGGTCAAGGGTTGCCGGTAACGGCACCGTGCCGTCCTCCATGACTGATCTGATAGGTGGTAATGCTGGTGATGCCGTACGTGTCGGGATCGGTGAGGTGATTGGTGGCAGATTGCTATCTGCCTGTAATGATGCCAGTGTGGAGGACGCCGTGGTGGGTAAAATTTCAAGGCCCCGAGTCTCCTCGGGACGAACAATCGTGGTAAAGACAGGAATCGAGGGTGGGTATTAATCGGCGCGAGTAACGGGAGCGTCACACCTTGACCGCCAATAATCTAGCGGTATGAAGGCGACTTTGATGTAGGTGGTTGCAAAGAAGCAGCACGCATTCATAGGTAGGCACTGTAAGAAATGTACTAAAAACCCACTGTATAGGTATTGGACCGTAAATCGTAAATCAGAACGAACCGATTGGAAGCTCACAGCTCAAGAGTGGAGCAACGGAGAGAAGACTTGAAAAGAATTGCAACTCATAAAATTCGACCAAATAGATATATACGAGTAGGTAACGTCAGTCAGTCAATCAATTACTTTGAAGTAAGAAATTATACGGAAGAAAAGGAAAGGTATGTAAGTAAGATGGCACGCGCCAGGAGAGAATGAAAAATCCCCTGAGCCTCGATGTAAGATAGACACGTAGAAATTTGATAAAAAAAAATATTATTGTTGTTATCTTAAGATACGATGTATATCCTAGTAGATATTATTAAGGGAAGTACATACTCCCTTTACTTGCTTTTTTCGTTACGTTTATGTACGTACATGTAGATTAGATTTCATTTTCTTGGCGACGGGAAAACTGTTTCTAATCTAGACGCTAAGGATTCTTAAGATCATCTGGATTGCAATTGGCTACTTTAATTCCCTTGTCAAACTACCTCCTAAGGTATCTTCCTACTCTTGATCGGGTAAAGCGCTATAACTGCATGTATGCAGTCCTGCATTTGTATACCTAATAATCACACCGACTAGCACCTTGGGCTTTTCTCCTATTATCTCGCCAGCTCGTCTTCGCTATGTAGTGTTATATAGGTTTCTATTCCATATTATACACCATATACACATCTCCCGTTTCCCCGATTCAAAGGCGGTTCAACGCTCTGTGGGGCAGCATTCATCTTTTCGTAGATAAGCCAGTATAGACCGACTCAAAGAAGAGATATAAACGGCCCCATAATCAAGTCCTTCTACTATAAATGTAGCCTGTATCAAGATAAGGTTCGAGTTAAATGGAGAGTTGTTCTAATTTCCTATATTTTATTTCATTTACTATTTATTCGTCTTCCAAAGTCTACCAGTATAGAGAGATAGTAAAGCCACATATAAGCAGTAGTCGGCAGTATTGTTACCAGCAGCGTAATAGATGTATACCTATTATACAAACACTCTAAAATTCCAAGTACTTGACTTTCACACACGTAGACAAACATATCATAAGAGTAATCATAAGAGTAATGTTTCCAATAGCCTAACTTCTCAGCCCTACAAAATCATATCCTATTCAGGTGAGGAATTCCGACTATATATTACAGAAGAAGGATACAAATAAAAGCAGGTACCGAAGCAAAGAGCGTATTAGGTTTTCAACAATAGACAGTCTTGTAGCGATGTCCCTATCACCAGCTATAAAGCACACGCCTATACTCAGTAGAGTTTATTAAAAGCACAACCACAGAAATCTTATATCAAGCCACCTTCTATAACCCTGTGTTTACCCGCCCGAAGTAAAACTTATATATCTAAATAACTTAGAGGGCTTTTAACAAATGACCAAAAGGTCGGGTTGGTACGGCCAAGCGAAACATTCACATCCTCCAAACCTAAGAACTCCCTTATTCCGCAACCTAAAACAACAAACACACTTATGAAGTATCCCTAGGCCCTGGGGTTCGATTCCCCAGCCGACCAATTCTTTTTTTCTTTTTCTTTCTTTTATTCCATCCTTGTCGCATAGTACCATACTCCCTAAATAACATCTGTGGTATTGAAGGACACCAGGATAATTGTTAAACGCAATGTAGCTCTTGAATTGGAGGATTTTATTTTCTTAATTTTCTTAACATAAACGAAGCCGTCACATAAAAAGGGTTGTTAAGCAGCCATGACTTTTGAATATAAATTGTATACTCTGCTAAGGACAGTCTTCCATGGCTGCTGCCTTATGTACATGTCATATCCTATTGTAGAACCTCAGTGTACCTTGGTACCCAAATCAGTATCCACCCTAGCTCTACTACTGGAGGGGCTAAGTGTCTCCATTAAAAAACTTCCGACTACCGATGTTTAAAGAAAAAAAAAAGTCCCAATCATTCACCATTGCCAATCATTTATCTTTATTTGCATCGCAAACCCAAGTTCTATAAAACATCACCACCATCACGATGCCGTCTACACATAAAAAAGAGAAGCCATGGGATACCGACGATATAGGTCAGTACTCATGAAGTCGAAAACTTATTCTTTAGAGTATCTAACATGACTATTAGACAAGTGGAAAGTCGAACCCTTCAAACCCTCAGATAATGCTGGTGGAACCTTTGCGGAAGAATCCTCATTTGCAGTGTAAGTACCCCTAGCTAAAATCCAAGGTGTCACTTCCGGAGTCTAACCTATCGTCAGCCTATTCCCTCGATATCGTGAAGTTTATCTTAAGGAGGCATGGCCTGGCGTGACGCAGGCGCTCCAGCAACAAGGCATCGCGTGCACACTAGATCTTGTCGAAGGTAAGGAATAGCATCCTGCCTACTAGATTAGCGCTAACCAAGCGACGGCAGGATGCATGACGGTCAAGACGACGAGAAAGACATACGACCCCGCTGCCATCCTCAAGGCTCGCGACCTCATCAAACTACTAGCCCGTAGCGTACCTGCGCCGCAAGCATTAAAAATACTCCAGGACGATATGGCGTGCGATATCATCAAGATAAGAAACCTAGTGCGCAACAAGGACAAGTTCATAAAGCGACGGCAAAGAATCCTCGGACCAAATGGTCAAACCCTAAAAGCTCTCGAGCTCCTCACACAGACCTACATCCTCGTCCAAGGAAACACCGTCAGTGCTCTTGGCCCTTACAAGGGGCTCAAGGAAGTGCGCCGAGTAGTAGAAGACTGCATGGCGAACATCCACCCGATCTACCAGATCAAGGAGCTCATGATCAAGCGGGAGCTAGCCAAGGACCCAGAGCTAGCGAACGAGAACTGGGAGCGGTTCCTGCCCAACTACAAGAAGCGCAGTCTAAGCAAGCGCATAGTGCCGTACAGAGTCACGGACAAGAGCAAGAAGGTATACACGCCCTTCCCGCCGGCCCAGGAGAAGAGCAAGGTCGACATGCAGATCGAGGCCGGCGAGTACCACCTCGCCAAGGAGGCCAAGAAGCGCATCGCCCACGAGGAGCGCATGGAGCAGCAGAAGGTCAAGCAGGAGGAGAAGAAGCGCCAGCGAGAACAAGACTTCATCGCGCCGGAAGAAGGGAACGGGTCGTCGGAGAGGAAGAAAAAGAGGCGGAAGAGCAAAGACGACGAGTAGGCGTAGTAGTAGTAGCGTTGTCGCCTGTACAAGAGGTTTATGTATTACTACTTCCAGCCGTGACCTTTTTTTTTCGAAAATCTTTACGATACCCACGAAATTCCGAAAGTACATCCATCATCACATCAAGACTTTCGGAGGGGTTGCCCCCCTTCCCCCAAACGTACCTAAACTGGCTTCGTGATGCGTAGACGATAAATTCAGGTATCTACGTAGCTCCGCGGTTCCTAGGCAACCAACCCAAAGTCGACAAGGTTAAAAAGGCCCATTAGCAGCCCCTCCATCACTCCTGACCTTTCAGATACACTACCCAACGAGGCCGTGGCCTAGTGGTTTTCATGGTATGAAGGTGTAGATAAAATCCGCCCGCCGGGTTTTTCGAAGGCGTTTCCGGGTTCGAGTCGGGCACAGGGCGGCAAGACAGGTCATCTTGCTACGTTCAAATGTGCGCGGCTCAAAGCCTAGGGGCCTGCTTTTTTGTATTTCTCTATTTCCCTCTCTCTCTCTTTTCTCTCTTTAAACTTTTTTATTTTTTATTTATTTGCTGTCTTCTATTGTTTTGATGGTGTTAAGATTCCGTTACGAAAAAAGGGGGGAGATTTTGGCCTCATCTATGCTTTAGACGGACGGCCTTACTGCAGAGACAACGGAAACGTTAGATTGTAATACTTGAACTCAACCTTCTGGCTATATTTAGCTTAATTAATGTTCCGTCGTACTACATAAGGTAGGTCACTCTTATTGGGCTAGTAGTACATTCACATTGGTTATTCGCAGTCATATATATGCAAGGCAGCTTAAAATAAAAAAGCAGTGAAGACTTAAAATCGCAAGTGTATTCATTCCTAGTACAGGCATATGAGCCGGGAAGAGAACGCCTTAAACACCAATATGCCTATCCGTATCTTCGTTGGTATCACGTCTAGCACGGTTAACTACCCCTAAGATCATCCACGTCTATCCGTCGACCACCATAGTATCGTCTCCATCAAACGCCGATTCCGGCTGCTCGACCACGACTCCTCGACCACGACCAGCTAATAATTCCCTTCGGATCTCTGGTCCGATCTTGTGGTGCCCGTGCGTCAATAGGAGGTCTAGGAGGGCCTCTCTCTGGTCCTCGGTGATCTCGTTGCGATACCGCTGCGCAAAGGCTAGCAGGCACTGGTGCCAGATCACCGGTAGCTTCACTTGCATAGCCGCTCGTTCACTACCTATGTCCATTGAAGCGCCTTCCCTGACGGACGCGGGATCCACGCTTCGGAAGCGTAGGAAGTGGAATACGAGGGAGTCGATGACTTGGTAGGGAAGAGCGTATTTCTTCTCTAGGAGGGTCTTGATGAAGACGTTCGTGGCGCCTCCGCCCTCTGTTCCGGCGGAGGCTTCTCGCGCTGCAATGTCGCACAGCCCCTTGATAGCCGCGCCGGAGTGTAGCACCGGTATAGAAACCCTAGCTAGGACGGCGGATATGATTGTGGCTTCCCGCAGGGTGCACGTGCCGCTCTCTACGAGAGGGAAGAGGAAGCCCTTGAACCACGCCGCGGGTTTATAAAGCGCTTTCTTCAGGGCATTAAACAAATGTACATTTAGTTTCTTCGTTTCGTGGATGTCTTCCCTCACGCGCTCGAGGAGGATCATCTCCATGAATCTTCGGACGACGATCGGGCTACTGGATACGAAGATCCTCGTAGCCTGGTAGCACGCGTTCGGGGTCCACTGGTCAGGCTTCGTGCATTCGATGATATCTTCCCAATGAGGTACCGTCGGCAGAATCTTGAACGGTTTTGGGAGTTGGCCAGACTTATACCTCGATAATATCAACCCGATCCTATACAGTGTCAGTAAGGCTAAACAGACTCATCGTAGAATCTAGTCGACCTACTTAGTATACACTTCTACGATCTTCGGCGATAGCTCATAGTCGTCATCCACAGGTCCCAGTTCCTGCCCTCTGTCGTTTCCAGATTCGTGTTCCGCTATCCTCGCTAGAATCAAATCGGCAAGGTTGGTTCCCGAACCTTGCTGCTGCGCGGATGCTTGACCTCCCCAACCGTGTGTCAATAACGGGTCGTCGTCCGTAGGTAAGAACTTGTTGAATGTGTCTAAGTCTTCAGGTTCAATCTCGATCTCCTCTACTATCTCCTCCTCGTCGCCCCATACTTCTTCGTCCTCGAACGCCTCGTTATCTTCACCATCTTCGTCAAACCGAGAATCGAAACCGAATGCATTGCTCTCCTTCGGCGGCCGCGGAGGTGCCACATCAATTTCTTCTGCTAACTCTCGGCCGATCTTCAAGATTTTCCTCGACGCCTTAGAGTCTATGTAGTTTTCTTGTTCTTCGTCATCGTCGCCGCTTTTAGACTTCCTCTTGGGAGCCTTTGCGCGTAGGGGTCCCGTAGCTACGAGATCATCCTCGAGGGGGTTATGCCGTCGCCCTTGGCGGACAGCAGTTGGTGTGGTCGCCTTCGGCATGTTTTCCTTGAACTGGTAAAATTGTCGGCTCGGGATGGTAAATTCAAGTATCACGACGTGGGGCGCAAATTAATTGTGTGAATGAATTTCCAAAAGAAATTCAAAATTTTTGAGGGGTGAGCGGAACTAATTCCGCCAAGCCGATTAGCGGATTAGTTCCCTCGAGGCTCGAGCTGAGGTCAGCTACGGTACGTACCTTTGGCACATGTGCTTTCCATTCCAGCAAAAAAATTGCATGTACCCATGTAGACGGACATTGATTACTAATTACCGAAAGTGTAAAAAAAGAATTTTGTAAAAAAAAAAATTTCATTAAAAAAAAAGTCTAGGTTACCACATTGACATGGTAGACAGATGTAGCACGGCTAGTAATGCAAAAATATTGTCCTCGGTGAGGTTCGAACTCACGACCTTTGGATATCCCAACCTATAGGTTGAATCATAGAAATTCATATAGAAATTCATAGAATTGTATGAGACCAACGCTCTAACCTACTGAGCCACGAAGACCTTTTTTTGTTTTTCAGAAACTGAGAATTTCAGAAACTGAGAACCCGGACTTTACAACTACCAGAATGAGAACTGCCAGAACCAGAACTAGAGAAGAACTGGAACTGAGAATATCAAAGAACTAGTAGTGAAACTTTCCAAGGTTTTGAATGAAACTTGAAAAGTTTTTAAGGTTTATAACTTGTGCAGAGTGGGCAGAAGTTGTATCCCGTGATTCAGCCGGGGGGCTAAGTGGGTCAATCTCTAGATTACCTGTCTGTTAGATCTGAGATCCACTTCAAGACATGCTGATATGGTGCGCAGTGAAGTTTGAACGGATCCATAGGTTGGTGATTGTTAAAAGGAGAACTCCCAAATAACTTAGATTTCTCGTATTATTGCATAAACCCGGTCCAATGCATTTTATAATACGGATCTGTACGGGTATATGCATTACACCAAAGAAACCCACGTCATTTTTGCTAAGCCCCTCCATAGAGCTACTCAACCCCTCCAACCCTATCCCGTCGCAAAATTCTTAGTTGATAGGAATTTACCTCCCAACTCATAGCGAAGAAACACTTAGGTTTGAGATTTTTTATCTATATACTTTAAATATTCAAACGTTTCCAGGATGCCTACGGAATTGGAGGAGGTACGGTCAAGAAAAATTATATCGTCTCATTCTTGCTGATAGTTTATTAGTTGGTTGGCTTCATTGCTGATCCTAAACCTGAGATTCGAGCTCTTGCGACGGAGCATCTAGTCCCCTATTCGACGTCTCAGCCCAGCATCTTCAAGGTGGATAATTCCAAGCCTATTAAAAACTTGAAGCTCTTAGTGAAAGATCATCCGGTATAAATCCTTTTCCCAAGATTAGAAGTAACTAAGAATCATAACTAATATTACCATAGAAAATTGCCGAGCATGTTATAACCATTCTCATCAACCTCGCGGCTGATCAAGAAATTCTGGAAAGCTTAGCTACGGACGACAAGTTCTTAGATGAGGTTCTAAGACAGATAATTGTCAGTAGAGAAACGCATGACTAGCGGCTCGATTCAGATCCTTGTTGATCCGCTGAACACTCAGCTAATTATACGTGCATTAGATCGCAACCGAACCTAACGCAAATCTCCTTTCCATGCTACTAGCAAACCTTTCAAAATGGGACTCCCTAAAGAGGGTCTTGAATAAGAAGCAGCCATCGCCAACCGAGCTTGGATCAAATGAGCTGGTTTTAAACCAACTAGTCGACCTATTCGTTAAAGGCGCGGACGGATCGTATAACAAGAACGCAGATTTCGACCATTTGGCTTACCTGTTTGCTGATCTAACAAAACATGCCGAGGTCCGGCACTATTTTGTACGGAAGCAAGAATATGATGGGGTAATACCTATCACAAAATTGAAGGTCTTCACTGAGTATAAGTCAAACGTTAGGCGGAAGGGAGTCGCTTCCACTCTAAAGAATGTCGCCTTTGATGTACCTTCGCACCCACTGTTCCTGTCGGAGGATGACATCGATATCTTGCCATATGTGCTGCTGCCGATAATGGGGAACGAGGAGTACGACGAAGATGAGATGATGTCAATGCTTCCCGATCTTCAGCTTCTTCCCCCTGATAAACAGCGCGAGGACGATCCGAACATCATTCAGACGCACGTCGAGACACTATTACTTTTGTCGAGCACTAGGGAGGGTAGAGAACAGATGCGTAATGTCAAGGTGTACCCAATCATTCGGGAAACCCACTTGCGTGTTAATGATGAAGGCGTTCGAGATGCCTGCGAGCGGTTAGTTCAGGTTCTGATGCGTGATGAGGAAGATCCAGATAAGGTAGATCGTGTCAAGGAAATTGGACAGGACGACCAAGACGGCAACGAAGAGGATGATGACCAAATCGTCGAGGTGTAAATGGCACAGCATGTGTGAACTTATTAATGCCCTATTGGTAAAATTGTCCTATGCCTGCTGAGAATTATTAGAGCCTACGGGGTTATTCGAGCCGTTTAGCTACCTCTGTCAAAACAGACACCAGTAGCCTTCTGAAAGCAAGTCGCTCAGCTCGGATTCTCTAGCGGGTACACTGCGTCGAGATTATATTAGGTAGCCATAACCCTCTGGGGTTCTTGGCTAATGTTATGCCCTGAAACTGGGAGCTGTGGCTGACAGGTGGGAGGGCGGCATAAGTCAAGCCCACTCTAGATGGCTTCCGTTGCATCAGCCAAGGCGAATCACGCGGTATTAATCTGCCGTCTCTGGCTCCTTGGAAATTAGAACCCTCTAGAGTAGAGGTTTTATCCGAGTAGGTGCAGCAGCTAGCGTCAGGCTTTCAACACGAATATAATACCAAAATCGATACCGAGGACAGTCTCACGAAGGCGACCTACACGTGAAAAAATTGTTAAGGGTTCTAGCTACCCGCTCGACGAAAATAGTAACTCGATTAATCCACACCAAGGACAGAATCCAGCATCCAGCACGTCTAAACGCTGGGTCCTCGTAATTTCGAGGGTTGAATAAAGCGGACCTTTGTTAAAGCTTCGCAAGGAGCAAGTTAACTAGTCTTCGAGATCGAGGGCTGAAAGGTAACAAAAATCTACTAAATTGTGTCTATGATTGGTCAACGTGATTGGATTCGGCTGGAGGTAGGCCTTAATGTTATGAATCCTGAAACTTTTTGTTCTACCTGCCCGAGAGGGGGCATTATCGTAAGGACTCGGAACGCTCAAAGGTCGAGAGCGTGGACGAATTCTAGCACCTAATTGGTTCAACCGCAACCAGCCACTAAATATACAGAAACAGCTCTTACTCATTAGATGTTGTTAAAGGGCTATTTTAGTTAACATCTATACGATCCACCTGCGATTTGGAGCAAGGTCGGTCAGTTGGTCAGTCCTGGTGTCTGCTCACTTGCGGAATCTGGTCTGATGGAAATTGAGAGTATCGAAAGAGAGGTGTTACAAATTTCTAATAGAGCCGGGCCCAAACGAGACTACCCTAACCGAGGACCCCATCGGATACGCACATGTAAGTTCTAGGGGGTTATGGGTGGTATAGATGTGATGGGAAAACATAAAAGCTTATAACATACAATGATATCCATGTTGACGTAATTACGGGAATGGATAACAAGCATTTCTTGCCGTCTTGTCGTCAAGTCTTAGTCTCTTGGTGAAGTCTTGTTTCGACTTCCTGATAGCTTGGCGATGTTTAGATTGATGTTGCCGTAGGACTAAAAATGGGTTACTTCAAGAGGATGGCGGTTGCAACATCAATATGCGAGGCACCATACTATGTATGCGAGTTGCCCCATAATTACAGGGATTATAAGGAATACAGGGATCTTACAGGGGATATTCGGAGCCCTTTACCTTTTTACTTCCCTAGCCGCCATGCCGCGACCAACCCGAACGAACTCCACTAATTTACCAATTGAGGCGTCCTCCAAGGGTTCTAACACCCCTGACGAATCAGATAGTCGGAGCCTCAACATGTGCTCTAAGCTACAACTCTAATTCGTCTTCAACCACCAACGACATCTACTCTGATTGGATAGAGTTACTACTTCATTCAACCTTTTCAACCTGCCAGCTACGACTGCTAAGCCGCTAATATCGGACATCTAAAGCTTTTCATCAGCCTAGCTTCGGTTCCCCTTCGATTTAGATTCTATGCATTGGGGTCCCTCGACGTCAAAAATGATTAATTTCCCGTCGGTCCTTTTGGACGCTAAACAGCATGCCCTTTGAAAACATGCGCCCCTTAGAGATCTACCATCTCGATCCAGATGTTTGCCCGCTAGGGGCCACATAGTCCCGTGTACGGAATACAGTCAAGTGCCTCCGTAGCTGAGCAATAGTCAAGACCAAATCTCACCAGTCTCGTCTGATACCTCGAGATACTCCCACGAAGATAATCGAAATATTCGCCATGTCTCTAGCCGCATTAGCACCCGCGAAAAAACAAAAGCAAACCAAGTAATGTACAAGCAGAATCAAGGGAAGTATACGTATTCGCAGGCGCACTCGAGTCTGCCCAGTGCATCAAGCATGATACGAAAGACCAGCCGCCCTTCTTATATATATTACTGTATGTAATAGTAGTAGTTGAAGCTGCTTGTGGACACCGACGTAATGGAAGAATTACTCAAGTCTGGTCCGGTCTACAATATTGCGCCCACATTGCAGAGTTACCGATCCATGCAGCCTGCCTTTTTATCTCATGTTAAACAGACTACCAATAGGCGTAGAAGTACTGGAGGGACCACCCGGACTGGTGGGATTGAGGTAATGCCTGGGTTCTCGTCCTACTGCGTCAAGCGTCAAGCGTCAAGCATTACATACCTCCTACGGCCCACCCTCCCACTTTGTATATGTCCTTGTATGTACATCTCGCATGTTGTTGGTTAGCTGACTCGGTGTCCCCTGTCACAAAGAACTTGCATTATGTAAATCGCGGCCTACCTATAGCTAGGATCATAGATTGGTAAGAAAAGATACAAAAGCATAGCAGGTCCCTTCAGCTACAGACAATTTTGCTTTTTTGGTTTCTGCTGTCAGCATCAAGTCCCTATCGGGTGACAGGCCCTCCCTTGCTTGCTTCCATCTATCTATTGCCTGCTTTTTACTTTGCGCATAGATTTACAGAATCTTAACCCAACCCTTGTCCACCCAGATCAGATCGATCACCACTGAGCACGGACAACGATCTCCTCATCCCACAACCATGGCTGACGCCGCGCCCGATACGGCGAATCCAGCATTCACCTCGAAGACTTCAGGCGGCAACAACGCTTATCACAACTTTCATAATGACTTCTTGCACATCCAAGATCCTAACGAGCGCCGTCGTCTCGCGCTCGCTGAGATCGACAAGGCTCCCTTCGGGTGGTACCATGTCAGGTAGGTACCCGTTCCCCGCGTTGTGGTAGTTAGTACTGCGAGAAGCTAACTAGTTGGGATGCAGGGCTTGTATCGTCGCCGGTATTGGTTTCTTCACGGATTCTTACGATATCTTCGCCGTTAGCTTGTTAAACACTATGTTGGGAATTGTCTACTATCCGGAGCTGGGTAAACTGCCTAACTCTTCTGACAATGCTATCAAGCTATCGACATCTGCCGGCACTGTTGTTGGTCAATTAGTCTTCGGTTGGCTTGCGGACCACGTTGGACGAAAGCGTATGTACGGTCTTGAGTTGATTATCATCATCTTCGCAACTCTCGGCCAGGCCCTTAGCTCCGGTTCTCCTTCGGTTAATATCGTCGGTCTCATCATCTTCTGGCGTGTCATACTCGGTGTCGGTATTGGTGGAGATTATCCGCTATCCAGTATCATCACCTCCGAATTCGCTACCACGAAATGGCGAGGAGCTATGATGGGTGCTGTCTTTGCCATGCAAGGTATTGGCCAGCTTGTCTGCGCATTTGTCATGTTATTCGTTACTCTAGGCTTCAAAGAAGCACTGTCCGTTGCACCGAAGACTACTGAATGCGACGGTTACTGTGCCGTCGCCGTCGACAAGATGTGGAGGACTCTGATCGGTTTCGGCGCTGTCCCGGCCTGCATCGCCCTCTACTACCGATTAACGATTCCCGAGACCCCTGTAAGTCGTCTATACCGAGACGTGATGGACAGAATTTGCTGACATTAGTGTTAGCGTTACACCTTCGATATTGGCCGCGATGTCGAGAAGGCTGCCGACGATGTCAAGGCGTACATATCTGGCAAGCGGGAGGGTCACCCTGACGACGTCGCCCGTATCCAAGCTCGCGAAGCCGCCCGGGCCCAGATGACCGTCCCGAAGGCCAGCTGGAGCGACTTTTGTCGTCATTATTCTATCCCCAAGAACGGTCTACTCTTGTTTGGTACTGCTGGCTCGTGGTTCATGCTTGATGTAGCCTGTAAGTTGGCTTGAGGTTCGATCAAATTCCGAAGAGATAAACTAACAATCGAACGTAGTCTACGGCTTATCTTTGAACAATGCCGTTATTCTAGAAGTGATCGGCTATTCCACCGCTACCGCCAGGAATGTCTACGAAATCTTGTACAATACGGCTATCGGTAACCTTATCATCGTCCTGGCTGGTGCCGTCCCGGGATACTGGGTTTCGGTTGCCACGCTCGACACACTCGGCCGAAAGACCATCCAGATGGGTGGCTTCATCATCTTAACCATTCTCTTTGTCATCATGGGTTTTGCCTACAACCACATATCCAGCAACGGACTGCTTGCCATCTACGTCCTCGCGCAGTTCTTCTTCAACTTTGGTCCCAACATGACCACTTTCATCGTCCCCGGCGAGGTATTCCCCACTCGTTACCGATCGACCTCGCACGGTATCTCGGCCGCCTCCGGTAAGATCGGCTCTATCATCGGCCAGGGCGCCATCTCTATCCTTCGAACGCGCGGAGCCACTCAGGACAACCCTAACCCTTGGATGGACCACGTGCTCGAGATCTACGCCTTGTTCATGTTCCTCGGCATCTTCACTACGTTCTTCATCCCCGAGACTAAGCGCAAGACCCTCGAAGAGCTCTCGGGCGAGGATCAGCCCGCGCGCCTGCCGGCTGCCGAGGCTAGCAGCCAGAGCAAGACCGCAGAGTCTCTGTAATCTCTTTTCTTTACAAAGTTTTTGCGCTTGTACGCGGACGCGAAGAACGTTGTGACGAAGTCGTGGACTCGACGTGCTGCGGTGAAGCTCTATGGCGATGAGTATTGTCTGTCATGCGAACGGGGGCGGTCTAATCGGCATACGACGGTGACACTGATACGAATAACATCTGGTCCCCTGTGTTTTTGTATCAATATAGATTAATATACCCAGTTCAATCGTTGCCTTTTTTTTCTATTCGTCTAGCTACCTAAGGTACTTGTCCTATTTGATTCTTGTAGCTAGCTCTGGTATAGCATTTTTATACACAACTTTACTACCTAGCGAGTGGTTGTGATTTCGAAGGGTGTGATTTAATTTTTTTTAATGAGAGAAGTCCGGTAGAATATAAAAATGATTTTGAGGGTGGGAGGTAAGTGAGGAATTATGTATAGTCGAGTCAATATCGATATGATTATACGTAGAGTTACTATCGGTAAAGCCACTCTCCTATCTGTTGTTTCTATTAAATACTACTGGCACCTTAATTTCACCTTCCGCAACCAGAGTTCAAGATGTTATAAAACTACCAAGATTTATTTATACTGCTGTCACGTCCACTTTAGTTTTATCTACCACCGAATTAGACCTATACTGTTTAAAACTTTCAAACCAGACACCGCAATGTATAACAAGAGAGAGCAGCAACACTCACAGAAAGCGACATAGTCCTTAATATGCTTGGCCTTGTCAAACGGCGCGGGATAGTACCACGCGGCATTCGCAAGCTCCGTATCTAGGTACCTATAGACGTCAGTCTTGTGATACCCGGCCGCTCATATTTTTCGTAAGTTAGGTACATAGGTATGGTAGGTATGTATGTATGTAGACGTACCCCCGACTTTGACCGTGTAGTAGTCCGCGTCGCCCTTCCACCCGCAGTGCGTGTGCAGGTCTGTCTTGCTGAAGAACTCGGGCTTGAGGGACGACGGCGGGAAGTACACGTTGCCCTCGACTAGCTCGTAGGTCTCGGACTCGGCGACTACGGTGTCGCCGACGGTGGCTTGGACGTGGCCGGAGGGCATGGTTGTGTGGCTGGGTTTGGGTTTGGGTTTAGGTTTAGGTTCTTATGGAAGCTGGTGGGTAAGGGTTAGTTAGGGGTAAGTAAGATGGGATGTGCTAAGAAGAAGCGTTTATAGTAGTGGTACAATAACGGTGCTGCATGGCGCTATATTATTATATCTACATGTAGGTAAGTATTGGAGATTAGATGCTTGTTTGCTGTGTTGCGGGGTAGTCAGCTTCTAGAAGGATTCCGTCACCTTTGTAATAGTAGAGCTGAGTGGTAAAGATACATGTATGCATGGCATGTGGTTTCTGTATTATAGAAGTACCTACCTAGGTACATTTCCAGTACTCCGCTGTATGCATCAATTGAGTATTTCGCCAGAGCGAGGTTGTGGGGTATACGCGCACCGTATACTTACCGTAGCCAACTGTCTATATCCACTGTGCAGTATAAAGAACTAAAAGAGTACCTAAAGAGTCCGGCTAGCTGGTTCCACTAGCGAATAACGGTCAAGATATTTCCAAGAGCGGGCATCTAAAACCCCGCTAGATTTTCTCCCGACGCCCGAGACGGATCCACGCTACTCCACCATCTCCAGGCTTTCTCCAACCTCTCGGCCTTCGTTACGACGCTAGAGGCCAGTTGCTGGTTCCGCCAACGAACCGAACGTCGGCAATATTTAATCCTATGAGAGCATGTAAACATTCGGTGTGTCGCATTGATTGATTTTGAACTTCTTACGTCTTTATAATCTCTTATATATTATATAGTCACTGTAAACTATCATCCCCTATTGAATTACGGTGTCACGAGACGTGGCTAAAATACGTCATTAAAGGAATTGCTTAGAGCGAGCGTGTTCGCGATGGCGCTTTCAGGAGTTGAAGTCGCTAAGCACGCCAGTAAGGAGTCTTGCTGGGTGGTAATTCATGTAAGTTGGTTGAACACAAAGTGTCTAATGCGAGGAAATCAATATCTCATCGATTTAATACCTAGGGGAAAGCCTACGATGTCACGGAATTCTTACCTGGTTAGTAGCTCGCAGCTTTCCGTATGTTAAAACCACAAAACTAACTCATTTATAGAACATCCTGGTGGAATGGGCATTATCTTGAAGTATGCGGGCAAAGATGCGACTGAAGAATTCGAGCCTATACATCCCCCGGATACCTTGGACAAGTACCTGGACAAATCGAAGCATTTAGGACCTGTTGATCTGAAAACTGTTGCCAAGATCAAGGAAGAAGAGGATCCTGAGGAAGCTGAGCGGCAACAGCGTATTGCGGATAAGCCGCTATTATCACAATGCTACAATCTGATGGACTTCGAATCAGTTGCTAAGAGGGTTATGAAGAGAGGTGCTTGGGGATACTACTCCAGTGCCGCCGATGACGAGATAGTAAGTTCTTACTCACACCTAGACTACGTGAATATACCCTGACCAAATCGATAAGACGCTCCGAGAAAACCACGAGGCCTTCCACAGGATATGGTTCAGGCCCAGGATTCTAGTTGACGTCAAGAAAGTAGATTTCTCAACCACTATGCTCGGCGCCAAAGTCGACATTCCCTTCTACGTCACGGCAACAGCGCTGGGCAAGCTCGGACACCCAGAGGGCGAAGTAATATTAACCCGAGCCGCCAAGAAGCACAACGTCGTGCAGATGATCCCCACGTTGGCCTCGTGCTCGTTCGACGAGATCGTAGATGCGGCCGAAGGAGACCAGGTGCAGTGGCTGCAGCTGTACGTCAACTCGGACCGGGCGATTACCGAGCGCATCGTCCGACACGCCGAGAAGCGCGGGTGCAAAGGGCTGTTTATTACGGTCGATGCGCCGCAGTTGGGCAGGAGGGAAAAGGATATGCGGTCCAAGTTCACGGATAAAGGGTCTAACGTCCAGTCCGGCCAGGAGACGGACAACTCGCAGGGTGCGGCGCGCGCTATTTCGTCGTTCATCGACCCTGGGCTCTCGTGGAAGGATATCCCGTGGTTCCAGTCTATTACCAAGATGCCCATCGTGCTGAAAGGTGTGCAGCGCGTCGAAGACGTCGTCAAGGCCATCGAGTACGGGGTCCAAGGAGTCGTGCTGTCGAACCACGGTGGGCGACAGCTGGATTTCGCGCGGTCCGGCGTCGAGGTCCTGGCGGAGACGGTGCCGGTGCTGCGGGAACTAGGTCTAGAGGGCCGCATTGAGATTTTCGTGGACGGAGGTGTTCGCCGCGCTACAGACATTATCAAGGCGCTGTGCCTGGGCGCCAAGGGCGTGGGTATCGGTCGCCCGTTCCTCTACGCCATGTCGGCGTACGGCATCGACGGCGTTGACCGAGCGATGCAGCTCCTCCGCGACGAGATGGAGATGGCGATGCGGCTGATCGGGTGCACCAGCGTCGACCAGCTGAATACGTCGCTCGTCGATACGCGAAACCTCGGTAGCCATGTTACGGGCGTTCCGCGAGACCACCTCGGCCATAAGGTGTATGACCCGCTTGTTACACCGGCGTTTAAGCCGCCTAAGTCGTCCAAGCTGTGACTTGGGGGCGTGTCTTATTTCCTTGAAACGTTGATGATGTTCGTATTTATCTAGGACGTACTTACGTAGCATTTGTTTCCTGTCGTGTGGATTTTTGGATATACCAGCTTGGCTTGTATGAGGGTTCAGATTGATTGTATATAGGTACATGTATGCTTGTGGCAAGACCGCTGTGAATTAAATTTGTTATTTAGCCCCTTTTCTGGTCATGGCCAATGGGTCTTATTTTTCAACCTATACTATACCACTACCCTATCTAAGCTAACCTCGCCCTTTTCATCTTGGATATTTCACCCTTGAATCGTGGCTGTCACAATTTGTCTTGGAGATACTAATTTGGGAACTCGTGAGTGACGGGTTACACGGTTTCGTACTAAGTGTTATTATCCTCACTTCTGCGTATTCCGCCTTTCCTTTTCTTATGTTAATTTTTGGGGGAAAGGAGGTTTATAGTTATCCGTATGGATCTGAACAATAAAGCTCTTATCCCGCATCGGAATTAATCGGCATGGACCATCTTCGACAACAGGCTCGCAGCCTATTCCTCCACCGCGTCAAGATCCGTAGCGACAAATGCCAAGTGTTCGAGATTTGGGGTTCGGGCAGCACGGTAATCCATTCTGAAAGGGTAATGCCCACGAACGAGGTGCCGGCATATCTTAAACACTACTCGGGGGTACCGGTTTTCAAGCTCGTCCAGTTCCCAGTTAGGATATTTTATAAATCTCACCGGTTGCCATACCAGCAGCTAGCTTGGGTTCCGGATATACTTACCGACCTGGGAATCGAACCATATATGATCGGACTGTTGACGCGAGGCCTGACGATGTTCGAGGCGGTGGAAAAGGATAGCCGCGAGTTAGGGAAGGTTCTTAGTATATTCATGAATGGTATTGATTCACGTATGCTAGGTAAGTCGATGCCACGTATAACAGGCTCTAGTGGGACGATGCAGTTCGGAGTAGCCTTATTTTGAATATGTTATGCTCGAAGTATTACAGCCGTCGCTGACCTACGTGCTTTTAAAAAGTAGGAAGGGGAGCCATTGTCTGCTAACCATGGTATTACTAGCATCTTATAACTTCGCTACGAAGTCTACAACCTGTCTCCTGTTTACACTAGAGGAGAAGGGTTCGAATACACAGTATGAATGCATGGCGAAATTCCTGAGGAGGAGCGCTAGTCTTTATCAGAGTAGCTGCTTCTTACCGTTACTCATCTTGACGGACCATGTCAGCCTCGTCCTGGACGGATTTGGCACTTTCTTCGGCTACGATCTGCAGCACGTCAAGGAGACGAATCTACACGATTGGGAGACTTCCCGAACCAAGCTCCGGTGGGCTAAACATTATAATCACCTAGCCCGCGACATTGCTGGCTACCTGCGGAAGAAGCTGGACGAAGATGTGACACCGGGGACCTCGATGTCGCCACAGGATATCGCTATCCATGCCCAAATAAGAGACGCATTACACGTGCTGGAGCTGACGATTAATCCGGCTGCTCGAGGTATTGAATGGCACTTACAGAGAAACGAGGACCACATGGGACAAGTAAGTACCCTCAGCTTATTACTGGTTCAGCGATGTCTGCAAAATCCAAAATGATGACCATCTAACAGAGCCGTCAATTCAGATTTCGCGTAAAATGATGCGGCAAGACACAATGGCTAGCATCAAGCTGAGCGGGGCCAGCATCGAGCTGGCCAAGATGGCAACATTTGACAGCTCGTCAATGAAAGTGATCGCGGCGATGACCATGATATTCCTACCGGGGATGTTCTTCGCATCGCTATTTTCGGTGCCGTTGCTCCACTGGGATCAGGAGGAGGGCGTCGTGGGGGATAACTTTTGGGTGTACTGGGCGTTTACTATCCCGTCTACCGTGCTGATTGTTATCTTGTGGCTTGTTATTACGCAGCGCAAACGGATGAGAGGGTTGTACCACGTAGGAAAATGTTAATGGACACGGTGAAAATGCGGCGGTTTGAGATAAGGTTGGTAGTAGGTGAATAAAGCAGAAGATGTGTAAATTACCTGTGAATGAAGAAGGTAGAATATGCTGTGTACAGTACCTAGCTCAGATATTAGGTAACTGTCAAGTAGTACCACGTGACTCTAGTCGAACGTATGTACGGATTGAGGGGCTATGAGGTCACGTATGAGATACCTTGTATTCCGTATGTATTTGCGAAACTTTGTTTATTTAACCTTTTACAATACACAAACATTTCCGCAAGACGAGACGCCAAGGTTGTAAAAGAAGAAAAGAAGGGACATCGCCATCTCATATTTGTATTATTTTTCTTGTATCATATCTTAGTAATTACCTACCTAACCTAATTTGCATCTTTCTAAATTCACTTCACTTTACCATGTCAGCCTTTTTACCTAGCACGTTTCTTTTCTCAGGTGGGATTGGCAGTATGATTGGCAGTATGATTGGCACCTGACAGAAGCCAATCCCGGCTTATCAAAAGCTTACCCCAGACCCGTCGGACTCATTCGTCACTCGTTGGACACGGTGTGACCTTACTACGTGACGAGTCAGCTCCGTCTTATTCGGCGGAATCAAAGCTAGTCGAAGCAGCTCCGAGGTTTAAAAAGAAACGCTTGAACGAGCCTCAGAGAAGACCTACAATTCTCATCCATAGCAGTTATCAGCAGCAGTTATCAGCAGCAGTTATCAGCAGCAGTTATCAACAACAGCTTTTCATTACCTATCTTACCTGTCTAACACAGTACCGCATCAAAATCATTCGTTCTCTTACGTCTTTCGCTTCCGACCGTGATAAGGAATCCCGATATAGACGTAACACGGCTTAATACGGCACGGGTGTCTCAGTACAACATCTTCGAGAAGGAGCAAGGAGCATGACGATCCAGACCCGCAACCCAAACTTCCAGAGCCGAAGTCATTCATCCTAGCATTTCCCCCTAGCCTCCCCCAGGCTCCCCCAGCTTCCCCAGCACCTGCCATCCAAGTGCCCAGCCATTACTCGCATAATCCTCCACTGAATGAAACCCTTCCCCAGTGGCTCCATCCTAACATATATTTCCCGACTTGACTCAACTCTAACCTAGGTTGACCCTCCACTACCGTGGCTTGACTACACAACATGTCTTCCCTCGAGGCCAAGATCGTCGTCCTCGGCTCCCAAGGCGTGGGCAAGACATCGCTAGTGACGCGGTATTGTAAAGGCGCCTTCAATCCCGCCCAGAATACTTCTACCGTTGGCGCTAGTTTTATGACCAAGAGGGTCCTAGACGGTGACACTGACACTGTCGTCCGATTACAGATATGGGATACAGGTACTACCTAACTCTCTCTCCACTTATCACTTATATCTCAACTAGTCTCTACAAGTTTGAAAGCTAATCCCACGTAACTACAAAGCTGGACAGGAACGATTCCGCTCGATATCGCGGCTCTACTACCGCGGAGCTAACGCCTGCATCCTCTGCTACAGCATCACCGACGCCCAGTCCTTCGCCGAGATGGGCGTGTGGCTAACGGAATTACGCCGTAATCTGCCACCCGATATCGTTCTCCACGTAGTAGGAACCAAGGCCGACATCGTCGCCCGCGACCCCACGCGTCGCGAAGTGCCTTTCGAACGGTGCATAGCATACGTCGCCGAGAACCTCGCTCCAGGCCTCGGATCGACACCACCACCAACCGCAGCGCCATCAGGTCTAACTGCCCTATCACTGGGACCAGGCGTAAGCCAGTCGAGCGTAGTAGTCACGCCCGCCGCGTCGAGCGCCCAGGAACCGCGTAGCCCGAGTAGTAAGCGAAGCAGCGGGTTCTGGGGCCAAGAAGTAGGTTGGGACGCGTGCCACGAGATCAGCGCCGAGAGCGGCGAGGGCGTGGAAGAGGTATTCCGGGTCGTGACGCGCAAGCTCGTCGAGCAGAACCGCAAGATGCAGCAGGCTATCCTAGCCGCCACCGCGACCCCCGGTACCCCTGGGTACGAGAGCGGTATGGATGGGGGGTACTTCGACGGCGCGAATCCCCGCGGTAGCTTCCGCGTCGGCAGAGATCGTCGGAGTTGGCTGTTTTCCTCCCCAAACTTCTCGCCAGCTGTTACGGTGGAAAATCCGAATGCGGGCGGTGCAGAGCAGCAGAGGCAAGGGGAGGAACAGGGACGGAGGGGGAGACGGTGTTGTTGATGGCCCAGATATCTTAATGGAACTACGAGGAACTACGAAAGCATAGCGTATTCTTATTCAACGGCCATCGTATAAAGGCGGCCATCTACAGGCATAGGGGCGGTAGTCTTTTTCAGATCACTGCTTGGTCTGGGCAACAGAGGTTTCCATGACATTATATAGGTAGCCAAGGAGGGGTGATGAAATATCGTCTATCGACATTAAGTATGGCGTTTGGAAATGCATATTTAGGATCGGCATCCGGGTTCAGGTCTGGTCTGGTCTGGTCTGGTCTGGTCAGGGTTAGGTTGGGTTGGTCTCGGATCCTGGAGTTTGTGTATTCATTGCCGTTGTTCCTGGTCACGAGGAGTATATCGATTGGTTCTTTACGAGATACGAATGGATTATGAATCGTTATCAGTTTTGGTCACTTGGTTCTTTACTGCTACTGTTGTTGTTATTTGTTTGTTAGTTTGTTGGGCTGTTACTTGTGGTGGTGGTGCATTTGGCTGGTGATTTGCATATGGTATCTCTGAAAAGGGGGTATTGTATATGTAGCTCGAGGAATAATCTTAGCGGTATGGAGTTATGTATGTGCATGCTTAGTACTGATTACAATGAATATAATTCAAGTTCATGGAGTAATTATACACAACTAACCCCCTTTCAAGTGCCAATGATTGATGTTAGGATTCAAATTTCGAACTGAGTAGTAACCCGTATCGACGTCAAATCATCTATGTACACCATCTATTTCATAGTATCTATCACCCCTTTATACAACGAACCTCTCATGCGGAACTCCCCTGTCCCTGCTCCTGCTCTTGTCTCCCCATCTTCGACTTATCAACATCATCATCCACCTTCGGCAGCGCCGGTATCTCCACGCCCATAACCCTGTACTCAAGACCTATATACGCATCGCTCAGGACCAAAATATCGACCTTCCTCGCTTTCCCGTCCTTATCGGGGCTAGGGAGGCGGAGCGTAGTTTTGGCCGTGGGCTTTGAGCCGATTTGCACGGCGTTAGATTTAGCGTTGGTATTGTTGGACTTGGATTTGCCCTTGGAACCGGGCCCCTGGCTCCAGGAGACGCGCTTTACGCCTAGGACCTCGTCGCGCGCGGCGTCGCAGACGATGGCGAACCAGCCTTCCGTCTGGGGCTTGGGATACCGTGGGGCATATACGCGGGCCTCGCGCTCGACGACGGGGTTAAGACGCTTGAGCGAGACGCTGAGGGACTGCGCCGTCACGTCCTCGACTTTGACGCTGACGTTGGGTAGGATGGAGGCTGCGCGGACGAAGTGGCTTTGCTGGGAGCTTGGGATGTTGAGTTTCCGCGCGAGATCCTCGACCTGTGACCGGGGGAAGCTGCTTAGCTTTTGGAGGGCAGTCTTATTATCTTTCAAATTATCGTGGCTGGTTCCCGGGAGGATGGATAGGGGCGGGTCTTGTGGCCAGCGAGCCGACTTGACACACTGGAGTAGCTTCATCATTTCGAGACAGCTGGACAGATATCCCAACTCTGTCAAAACGTCGATTGACGCCTGGATGATACGAATAGCTTGGTCCAAAACACTGGTCTGATCACCGACGTAATCCGTAATAGGAAGATCGATGCGAGCCATGTGTGCTTGTAGAAGCAGGAAGGCTTTGACGTGAGGATCCCACATCGGTAGGTCAAAACTGTTACCTTCGAATGGTAAATTCTTCGATAATTCCGCGTTAATAAGATCTTCGTTATGTCGGACAGGGAGCTCGTCGTATTCTGTCGCGCGAGACATCCAGGATAAGACATCCAAGAAGCTTGCTTTTGGCTTTGCACTTTTGACTAGATGCCTGATCGTCTTATGCGATAAGTAGTAGTAACTCATGATCTTGCCCAGCGGTGTCGGGTCTACATCGCCATTAGGATAGATCTCAACACATTTCGAAGCAGCAAGTTCCTCTAACGATTTGCTGACCATATCAATCATAAAGTCGTTCGCGAGCTGTTGGGCAGCAATAGTGTTATGCTCCTCGGAGGAGATCTCAAGCCCATAGTACGAAGGGTTCTTATGTAGCCGGCGGAAGAAGAAAGTCCAAGTCAGATAGTCGAGTGCGTCTTGCTTAGTTGTAATCGTTTCGGCTGATACCTCGGCACACAAATGGTTGTCAAGGACCGTATGCAACGACGATTCGACTGGGAAACCAGTGTGTAAGAAGTGCTTATAGAAATCCTTCTTAGAGTCTTGAGTGAAGATGCGCGCGACACCAGAGTTGTCAAATTGCGGACGACCGGCTCGACCCAGCATTTGCAATACATCCGTTAGATCCATGTCTTTGTAGCCTTCGATCTTTGCGTCGTAGAACTGTGTACCTTTGACGACGACCAGGTGGGCAGGAAGGTTAACACCCCAGGCCAGCGTACTCGTTGCGACCAGGATTTGAATCTTGTTGTTCAGGAAAAGCTCTTCAGCGAGTTGCCGATCGGATTCGACGAGGCCTGCATGATGAAGTCCAATACCAAAGTTAATCGCCTCCTTGAGTGCATCATCTTTAACCCTACTAAGATTGAGCTGAAGATCCTCTTCCGACATATTGACGAATCTCCTAGGATTGTCTTCCATGCCACAATAGTTAATCAGGTCTTTCGCAGTCAGTCTAGTCTGCCGTCGTGATGGCACGAAGACAATGACAGGTTTATTAGGACTATGGGTTTTGATAGCTAAGAAAGTTGGCCGGTTCATAGATTGCATCAGGGGGCAGAATCCTCTTACTTCCGGGAACCCGTCGATGTATAGCTCCAATGGTACCGGTCGTACAGAGTGACGGAAGTTGAATAGACCTTCCTTTACTCCAAGCCAGTTGGCCAGATCTGTCGCATTCGCGCAGGCAGTGGACATTCCAAGAAGTCTCACGGCATTATTGGTAGATTGGGCGATATAATTCATACGAGACACGATAATCTCGAGAATCGGGCCTCGGTCACCGGCAAGCAGGTGGATTTCGTCAATGATTACAAGCGAAACTTGACGAACATACCCTCTAGTTTGCCAGCTACGAGAGATACCGTCCCACTTCTCAGGCGTGGTGATAATGACATCGGCGTCCTTGATAGTCCTCGTATCTGGCGTATTATCACCCGTCAACTCAACCAACTTGAGACCAAGAGGTCCAGCAAGTCGAGCGCCCCAATCCTTTACTCGCTCGCGGACTAGAGCTTTCATTGGAGCGATGTACACAACCTTGGAACCCGGGCGCTCGCGGAATGCCCACCACATAGCCAACTCTGCTGCGACAGTCTTGCCACTACCAGTGGGTGACCCTAATAGGACATTCGCTGGCGTGTGATAGAGCGTGTGAAATATCTGCGATTGCATTGGATTGAAGTATTGAAACCTCTTCGCATAGATCTCTTCCAAGCCTGCGTTATTTAGGGCACTAATGGGTAGCGGTTGCAAGTTGAGTAGATCCGTATACACGCTCTCCGTATCCGGGCGAATGAGATGCTGGAAAGAGACCGGGTTTACTGTCTCTGCTCCAAGCCATTTGTCCGACACCGCCCTGACATAGATCTGGTTAGGTAGAGGGTCTGATAGAGGAATCGTGAAATTGAGTTCGTGGTCATCGTAGAGCTTTCTCCTATTGAGTATGAAGAACTCGTGATGGTAGATTTCGGACGTCTCGGAATTCTCGACCCAGATATAGAAAGATTCGGATGTTCCGTGTATTTGGTCGCTCCAGGTGAATTCTGGAGTGATATAGAGCTTAACCCTCAAAACATCTCGGTTTAAAGGGGCAATCTCGGCTTCTACTGATACGAGTGGGAAATGATCAAGAATCCTCCCTATCTTCTTGCCGGCATTATGGTTATGGACTAGACTACCAATTTCGGCATTCTCCATATCGCGTAAGACTTCGATAGGGGTCTCCTTCTCGTCGATTTGGTTGAGTACCGACTTAGGTAAGTCAAATTGATGCAATGGATGCTGGAATGGCCAGACACGTTTCTCGATAGACTTTGCGAGGGTTAGCAAAACTAGACATTGATGACCCCATCGTCGATTTAATGCAATCTGGAACAAGGCGCGACAAATTCGCCCAGACTGCTGAGCCACGTAGTTTAGATCATTTGACAACGCAAAGTCTTCCAGCTGTGCCCGAGAGATATAGGACTGCAACAGAATATTTGTCTTTGCTTGGGGCGTATCAATTCCACGACCGGGATCGCAAAAGACCACCTTATCATTATGTCGTAGGCTAGTCAATTCGTTGGCTTCGCTGTCTCTGGACTGTATGTTGTCGAACTCTCCACTCTCGCTGATCATCTTTAAGTTGTCTGCTTCTGTTGCCTGAGGTTTCATTAGCGTGTTGAAGATTTGTATACTTGTCTGCTGGATATAGTATTGGCTAGCAATGCGGCCAATGTCCTTGCTTCTCAGTTCTTCTGTCTTCTCATTGAAAATAATCATTTGACTTTGCTGCAATACTTTCGCTGCCTGGATAGCAAGCTGTCGTCTCCTCTGGACAAGATTTGGGTCGTCTCTGATCTCGGCCCATTCGATTCCGTAAGTCATGGGACTTCTCAGCATCCGGACGAAGAGATATGAGTAGCCGATCCATTGTACTGCTTCCGGGATGGAAGTAACCGTGCCTAGGGCAATCTCGGCATTTAAATTGTCGACTAATTTTGAAGAGAACTTTGATTCGATAGGTTGCTGCGCTGTAACTGACCGCCGGTAATGATCCAATTTGTCCTGTGTTGTACAAATCATACCAATACCAGTGTCCTCGAACTGAGGCCGTCCAGCACGACCGAATATTTGGAGCACGTCGAGGATACCCAGATCTATGAATTTTCCATCTTGCGCACTGTAGACTTGGGTCCCTTTAATAACAACTGCCGCGGCCGGTAAGTTGACACCCCATGCAAGAGTTGCCGTACAACAGAGCACCTTCATAACACCCTCGGCAAACAGTTTTTCCATGAGGTTTCTATCCGATCGAGTTAGACCGGCGTGATGTATACCTAGCCCCTTGGGCACTAGGTCCCTAAGCTCGCGCGCCTTTGAGGACTTCATATCTCGGATGGCTTGCTCGTAGTACGGATGTTCCATAGAATCAAAAAG